CATGATTAACTCTGAAAATAACTGAGTTGCCTTAGTGACAGGCAATTTACAAACTCATCTTTAAGACTGTGCAGAACTTCAGAGTGGATCAGTAGTTCACCTGGTGGGTCCCATTGTTAACCATGGAACTCGCAGTGCAATTTGTACAGTCAAGAAAGCTCGGGTGGCCTAATTGTGTATGTGGTTGAAAATGATAAAAGTTAACAGAGTTGTGCAGTAAAAGAGCCCAATGCTGACCCCGGGAAATAAGTTCTATTACGAATAGAAATGTAGTTCAGCAGTCATGCCTAAGAATGAAAGTTCTGTTTCAGCTTGGTTTTGTTACCTGATCTCAGTGCTATCCATAGGTACTTCGGGTTACTATAGCCTAAAGAAATGGATGCTTATTTATATGACCAAATACACTGCCAAGTAAATTAGCTTGGAAAACTGATTTCTGCTGCAAGCTGATTTCTGTATATAATTGCACATGGAAATTATTCATCTTTCAACTTAAAGATATTGCTAAGGAATGCATAAGTACAAAAATAAAATGGATAAAATGCCCAACACCCAAAAGTAGCTAAGCAACAACACTGTGAATTAGAAAGGTGCCTTCATGAGAGTAAAAATAAGGTTTAGCATTTGCCTATGAAGAATAGTAACAGTACTGCATTGAACTACATTGAACATACCATGAAAAAGCAACACAGCTTCTGTAAGGAAAATCAGTTGGCATCTTTCAAAGCTGCTGTATTTTTGCAAGTTAGTTAAAAAAAAACAACTCACAAAAACAACACCGTGCAAGAGGCACTTGCATTTGTTGTTTAGAGCTCTAAAGTCTTTATGTAATCAACAGAGGTAAGTGGGCTGATTCACCCTTGAAACCCTCTGTTGACTGCAGAGGATTTTCTTAAGTGATGTGACTCAGTCATCTTCTAAGGGAAGTAAATTGCAGCAAGGGTGGAAAATCTGGGGTGTAACTTTCTCAGTGCAGAATTAGTGAAACTTGTCTGTGGGTAGCATAGGGATTATGTAACAAAATTCACATAATACTTAAACCATAAAAAAGGAAGTAATAGCTCTTATATCATGATCAGATCTGACTTCTAATATTATGAATGAAGTATCCTGATATTCATTAGGAATTCCTCACAATCTACAGATTTAAAATAAATATTTTCAGATTAAAACTGGGGAAGAAGTGAATGTCTATTAGTCAGAAGTTAATATTGGCATTTTCTAGCATTTTCTAGTTACTGGGATAGTGTATTTGTTAACAATTTACCTCTCCTATGAAGACAGACTGAGACAGTTGGGCCTGTTCAGCCTGGAGAAGAGAAGGCTCCGGGGAGACATTTTAGTGGCCTTTGAGTACCTGAAGGGGCTACAGGAAAGCTGGGGAGGGACTATTTAGAAGGGCTTGTAGTGATAGGACAAGGGGAAACAGTTTTAAACTGAAAGAGGGTACAATTAGATTGGCTATTAGAAAAAAATATCTTACCATGAAGGTGGCGAGACACTGGCATAGGTTGCACAGGGAAGTTGTAGCTGCCTTATCCCTGGAAGTGTTCAAATCCAGGTTGGATGGAGCTTCGAGCAACCTGGTCTAGTGAGAGGTGCCCATGCAGGGGGGTTGGAATGAGACGATCTTTAAGGCTCCTTCCTACCCAACTCAAAACATTCTATGATTCTATGAAAAGAAAGGACCCCAGTTTTTTCAGCTGCCACACCAGGAAGGCAAGAGCTGCAACATGGAGTATTGCTCAGCATCCCTTCATGTTCAGTTACAGAAATGGAAACATTTTCCCCATAAGAGACTGTTGCTTTCAGTTTTGAAGTGCAACTCATCAAAGGAGGTCCTTTGTGAAAAGAGTTCTCTAGTCTCAAAAAGCAGGAGAATTAGCACAAAAAGATTACCTACACCAAGAGTGAAAAAATGATATTCTGCTTTAAGAATAAAAGATTCTTGCAGCATGATAGAAAACACTTTGGAATAAGAGATTATAGGTATATCCTAAAAAAACCGCTCACACTCCAAACAAAAATGACAAGATATTCTATATTCTTCAGCTTTGTAATGCTTAGATACTCTTACTCTATAAAGTGATCAAAAATTACAAATCTAAGACATTTAATTTTCAATTAAATGTGTACATGTTTAATGTAGAACTACTCAAACCAGTTAGAAAATAATCCAAGCTTTTTCTTCCAAAATAACAGATCATGAGAAAAACAGAAGTGAAAATTATATTTGGACTAACATAGAATGTTAAAAATTCTGTAATAGGGACCCATGTAATTTCTTGCCAGTAGTTCTCATAGGAGTGATATTTTCCCTGAAGTCTCAGGTAAATATGGTACACGTATGCTGAAGTAACTGAAAAATGCAAAAGGAAGAAGTAAATCTGACAATTTCTATGTTGGCACTGTTTGCAGCTGGGTTTTCAACCATCTGCAGGCCTTTTTTTTCCTCCCAAGTGTCCCTTCTAGGTGCAATTCCTAAAAAATTCCTGCTGCAGAAAGCCATGCAGTTCTCGGGACATCATTCTTCCCTGTGCTACAAGATCGTGTCAGATGGATCAGCTGGAGCAGTTTTCTGCTAACCTGGAAGATTGATTTGCACTCACACTCTTATCACAGAAGTGAACAGAACAATCCAGACTGAAGGGCCAACCTGGCCTTAGGGCTGATTGCTATGATGATGTTCTGATTAACATCTGCATTTTTTCCCTGTATCAAGTGTAGCCTTTTACTTCCTTCTTCCCTAGGAAAACACAGTAGGGATTAAATTATCACATTCTTTATTGTTTGCTCTTTGACCTTATATTGTTCCTTATGAATAAAACTAAAGGGTCAGGGGGACCTGCTGCTGCTGAGATTTAATGTGTCAGAGCACAGAGAGATCGCTCCTGAGAACCCAAAGATGTCCCCCCCACTGTAAATAATGCTGTGCAACTTCACACTCATTCTGTACCTCCTTACTGGGAGTTATCTGTTGAGGTAAGAAAGGCTGCATGCATGTGTGAACAGAGACTTTGCAGAACTCCCTGCACAAATGGACTCATGAATATGTGCACTTTTAGCTTTTTCCAGAATACCAGATAGTGCAAAGAGCAAGAACACAAAGGGACTGTGATAAAGCAACCTTCTGCATTAATCCCAAATGCTAGATATTAACTTTTTATTATAAATACATTTTAGAGTTACATTTGGCAGAAAATAGTATTTTTTCCCCTAGCTCTTCTGTTTTATTTTGGGCTTTTTTGTTGTTTTTGTTTTTGGTTTTTTGTGTTTTTTTCTTCTTATATTAGTAGATTGATTCAGCAGTGAAACAGCTGCTGGCAGATATGGTAACCAAATCTTTTTTCTCCCTTCCAAAAGACAAGTGCCAACTAGCAAAAACCAATGGGCACACTTTTTACTGAGTGGGTGAAGTAAATGCAGGTATTTTAATCTTTGGATTATTGTTCAGTTATTCATTCCATATGTAGGAAGGTACAAATGAAGTGGAGAGGGGCAGAAAAAGGCTTAGCCCTTGCAAAGCATGCAAGAAAGAATACACAACACTCACTTCAGTACATTATAACAAAATGAGCTAGTGTATTTTATTTTGGGTAACAGCCAAGAAATCTGACATTTTGCCCAATATGGCTTTCTTCTAAAATTAAAAAGTTGCATATACCTACAGTTGAGTCCACCAGCTACAGAAAATCTCCTGTATATATCTTTAATCCATGGCAGCATCACCAGAATACAGCTTTCAGTGGAGGCTTCAAGCTGAATTATAAGATAGAAGTTTTAAAATGTTCATTTAGAATATTTTATATTGTTTATATGAAAACATACAAATTTTTCATTTATACATATACTACATATAAAACTTATTAGCAAGTATCTTCATCTGGGTATTACCTTTGTGCATGTAGCAAAAAAAGGATGTAGTTAGGGCTTCTGACAAAATATTAAAGTTCAAGACTATTGTATATGCTAACTAAAACCTTACTCAAATAACTCAAACATTGTTTCCTGCTTTTGAAGAGAAGAGATTCAGCTTAAAAATACATTCATAAAACAAAGAGACAATTTTCTCCCTGAGACTACCAGTGTGAGTTACTTTGTGGTAATCTTTGAATGAAAAAATATAAAAAAGACAGTAAGCTCTAGTTTCCTATATGCTGCAGCAAATTTCTCAAGCAACACCAGCATCATAAAAGGTGTAGATTGGAGAATCATGCTCACTAGCTGAAAAAAAAACATTTTCAAATATCAGTTTAGGAAGAAGAAAAAGGCTTTAATTACCTTCCCTCAGCTATATTAAAGTTTTAATGAAAGATCTGTATCTGTAGTTTGTGTGAAAGGGAAAAAGTTGGGTAGTGGGTTTGTTTGTTTTTCAATTCAGTCATGACTTTTATCCAAAGCAGGACTATATGCTCAAAATGTATATTCTTGACTTATGCAGAGGTACTTAGTACAGTATTCTAAATGTTTCAATCGTGTTTTTGTGAATATTCATAAAAATACATAATTTATTCTAAATGTTTCAATCGTGTTTTTGTTTTTGTGAATATTCATAAAAATACATAATTTATGGGAACAGTTTCTGCTTAAGTTCAGTGGCAAAATGTTGATTATTACTAGATGGCAAAATCTCATGAGCAACAGGTAAGGAGTTGACCCCCCCTCAGTGAACAGCTCCTGGCTTGTGGCTATTTTAATCCTCTTGTCAAAATTACTCTGCTCTGAAGGCTAGCAGATACACTAGTTTGATTTGTTTCACATTCTTCCTTTTAGATGTCAGAAAGAGACAGTTTAAACCGCTACCAAGTCACAGATTAGAATTGGGACCCATTAAACATCTGCCCAAATTGGAAAGACAGTGCAATATAGTATAGCTTTTTCTGTTTTCAGTTTAAATTGTATTTATAGTAACCATGCAATTACGTTGGTTTTGGGGGAAAAGCCTTACCTGAAATCAAAGAAAACACATTTATAGGAAAAAGGGGGAAAGCAATATGTTTGTTCTACCAAAATTTATTATGTAGTAATTACAAAGTTTAAAGATTCTTCCATTTTAAATAAAAATAATAGTTATAATTACGCACATTATATAGTACCATGTCAAGTGATTCCAACAAATATAACATGAAATACAGTGCAGTTTCAAATCAGAAAGACAAATACTTTCTCATTCACAGTGTTTGACAAATTACAGGAAAGCTTGTTCACATGAGGGTTTACTTAAGGTCATGCTCTTATGAACAGTCCACATCACGCTGTGCCACAAAGACAAATCATCTCTCAGAACGTGAAGTACCGGGCAAACCACTCCTGGCGCTGTGGATCCTGTGAAGCCTCTGGTGAAGCGTCAGTCTGAGGAGGGCTAAATCCACAGAAAGAAAAAGACAAAACTATTATCCCACAGCTACATAAAAAGCACAAATGCTAGGAGAAAAAAAAAAAAAGAAATCTCAGAGAACATTCGGTAAAGAGCATGGTCTTTTTCCCATGTTTAATTATCAGTGTGCCTCAGGACATGATTTAGTATCTCCCTATAGAATCTGTGATCATCCACTCCATTGGAGAGCATCAGCAGCATGGACAAGTCAGTTCAGAAGCCACATGAGAGGGTGGGCAAGTAATATTTTGGAAAACATTTAAAATCTCAAACAGCTGCAGGATTTCAAGAAGAACAAAAAAGGTTTTCTTGGAAAAGCGTGACTGTAGAAGTTCCTCTTTTAGCATCCTTTTCCTGTGGTAAAGTTAATTTTCAAAAATATGATGCGAGCATCATATTTGGAGACATGTGCTCACAAAGATTGGTTGGCAACTAAACAAAAATACACACTATTTTAATATTTAACACTGATCACATATCACTTGCATTGCTGTTCATGCACACGTTTAAGATATGCTAATATACTAGGAAAAAAGAAACTGCTGCACTGCAAACAAGATTTGTTTCCCCCTTGAACACTTAAAATTCTCACAAAATGAGCAAGAGAGAATATTTAAATCTAATTTAAATTTAATTACACAATTAACTTTCTTTCTCAATAAAAATCAGTAAGAAGATAATCCCTGCTGTATTACTGGATAATTCAGAGTGCAAAACAACTTGGAATGGAAACTCCAGCATCACAGTCTATAAGTTCATGCACATGCATGTTACAGGTATCTGAGCACACTCATGCACATCACATGCGCAGGAAAAAATAAGCAACAGTAATCTTTTTATAAAAAATTGTTTTTTTTCAATGAGACTGTTTTCCCTGCCTATTTTGTATTTTAGTATTTGTTTACTTTGATAATTAGTAGCTGGTAGGTATGTGGTCTTTCACATTAAACCAAAAGAGAGACTAAACAACCAACTGTGGTCATTACATATTGCTTTTAAGTTGCAAACTTAGAGATCAGCACCTACTAAATAGAGTACAGCACTTCAGTCCATTTAATATGTAGGTACATAAATCCAAAAGATTAAAATCCTGCCTCTAAAATGCCATTTTTAAGTTACTCAATTCACTATATTAATTTGTGAGAGAATTACTTGAGACTTTAATGCTGGTTTCGATTATTGGAAGCTCAGCCTTAAGCATCCAAGGATGCACATTTCCTGTTGCTGTAGTGACATTACACTTATGAAACCATTTAATCTCTGTGAGGAAAGGGGAAACACAAAACATTCATGTAGCACAGAAAATAGTTTTCTTAAACAAAAACCATTATCACGTAATACCAAATAAAAGAAACTGTGCTAGTATCAGTTCCTAAATGACAACCATTAAATAACACAAACGTTTAAAACAATTGTTCATATATGTAAACAATTGGAAGCACATGAATTCTGTTAAAGTATCTAAAGAGGTTTTCAACGTTCAAGACTTACAAAAAAGTGAGATAATACTTGACATTTCAGCAAGGTCTACAATAAAAAGGAATACTATAAAGAGGTTACAAATATAATGTAAAAATTAAAAATGCTATAGAGTACTTGTACCTCTGAAAGGTTCACAAAGCGAGTGGGATTCAGCTCAATAGGAATGCAAAATTTTCCTGAGTTAAGCCAAAAGAAAAAGAAAAAAAAGCATTGGTGAGGCAGTGCTCACCTCAAAAACGTCTTGGGCTCTTTGGGTGGCATTGGCTGTGGTAGTGGTTTGCTGCTGTTGAACTCAATATCGTGGATGGGTGAGTTAGGAATGGGGTCCAGGCGGTTGGGATGTCCATTGCCCACCACTCCGCTAGATTCCACAGCACTTAGATTGGGGACACTCACAAACCTGTTTGTTGATTTATCGTTCTTCTTCTTTTGCTGCATTAAAAATAACAAGTATAAGGAAAGCTTCTCACATAAGGACAGACGAGGAAATCTGCAAATTTAGAAGCTGCATTGATGGCTGGTTTGGAGTTGTTTTTATTGAAGGAGAGCAACTGGGACAGATTGGCCTTTTTTATTTTTTCCTAATTGTAGTTCACTCTTTGCTTTGGCCAGAACTGAACACCGCACATTTTCACAGAAACATAAAATTACTGATAAAGACCATTAAGTTATTAAGACTTAGTATAATAATCAATGAATATATTATATGAGATCTTCCAATATACCAGTTTTTCTGTTTAAGACATTGGCAATCGGAAGTTTTCCACAAAATTGTCATTTAGTCTGTTAAACCTTTTATGTTTTCTTCAATCTTTTCTTGACACCAGTGAAGCAGTTCTGCTGCCAAAAGTCATTACAGGAAATTCCAATGGTGAAAAAAGTTAGCATCTCCAACAGGTTTCACCCCATCACCGAAGAACGTTTTGGTAACTGGTACATGGAACCTAGAAAAGCAGCTCAATTGCTTTTAAAGCAATTCCACCCTAACAGTTAGCGAGCATTACAGCAATACTGCTAAAGATAAAAATATTATTGTATAGGAGTTCAGTTTTTTGCAGAAGGAAAAGGCCAGGCTTCTAATGCTCCTGCAGCTGCCTCGTCTAGACACCAGATGGCAAAACTGAACATTTTTCTTAATACTTTCTATACTCCTACTGATAGTAGTTCAAGGGACTCAATTTAGTGAAGAATTTTATTTCTGTATGACTATTTTACTCTCCTTAACACATAATACAAAGGAATCCGTATTTACTCTCTCTACTTTTAATGTTGAAGGATGCCATAAATAATTCTATGGCTTTTTAAAAATAGCTGTATGACAGATTGCCACGTGTATTTTCTGACTACCATCAAATATTCTGTGGTCACATTAAAATATTAATATTTTTAAAGCCTTATTTCAAAAAATAGGATTTTTTGAGTCAATTGATTAATTTATTCTATTGAATTATGTATTATTAGAATATATAATAAATGCTTTCCTTCAATTACATATATGCAACCCTAACAAAGCAGCTGGGAGAAATACCCCCTAAGGGCTTATGAACTACACCTATTTGAACTACATCAAGTGAAAGACAAGTGGAATCTCATGTTGTTTCTATTTAATACTTTCCAGCAAAATTCCACTTGAAACAGAAGAGCTGCTCTATTCAAGGGGGGGTGCTTTCTTCTGTTTAGCTCTCTGCAAACTTTTATTTCAGCACCTGACCTCTGGAGGGTTGGCAGATGCAAATGTTACTAATTGTAGCCACACTGGTGGATGTGTTTGTCAAAATACATTTAAAAAACCCTCAACAACTTAACAGAAAGCTGTAACAGAAAAAAAAGTCTTTGTTAAGCACCACAGTGAAATATCATTATGCTAAGATACACTTTACTACTTCTGTAGTAGCTGAGGCAGCAATAAATAGCATTACGGTGGAAAAAATAGTTTGGTAAAAGCAACCAACTGTATGTAAAATACCTCTGCAAGGTCCTATACATTGTAATTAAAACTGTGTTAAACACTGCAGTTAAACTTGTGTGCCTCCTAGGTGTGTTTCTGGAAAATGTACATTATCCACATAAGTGCTTAGGAAAATACTATAGTTTCTCTCTTATTCTCTATAAAACAATCTATGCTTCTGAAGCAATCAAATTTGGAAAGACAAAATTGTGTGTATTGTTTCCATGAAATTCATGCAAAGTATTAAGAAACTTCAGATGTAACAATGGAATACTGAACAGATCCATTGCATAAAATAGCAAAGCTGTAATACTTACTGCAATGGCTGTAAGTCTGCATTAATATGCAAAGCCTGTAGTAATGCATAGATTATTTTTATTGCAAAAAAAGAAAAGAGAATGAGACTTTAAGTTTCTTTGTAACTCATTCTCCAGTAACACAGTACATGCTGTGACAAAATACAGTAATGTAGTCCACAACTTATGAAATGAGAGATCAAAATGTTCTGACATACAAGACAGTTTTAAAGTCTAAACAGTTTCAAGTGATAAAAGCATATTATAAAAATATATTAATTATCACTATGGAAATCTGATGTTTAAGTACTTTTCCCAAACATTTCAGATTTCACACAAAACACAAGCTTACATACTTGATGGTTACATGTCACATCTTTATAAATGTACAATACATCTGCAAGGTACTATGTGCTGCAATTAGAACTGTGTTAAACACTGTAGTTAAACCTGTGGACAAACCTGTTCAGACAAACTTCCAAAATTTTCAAACAAGCTTTACCACGTAAAGCCAAATTGTATTTGGCAGTCCTGATGTTGTCCCTACTGGTCTCAAAATAGGTTCTTTTATGCAGTTATGCATAAAAGTTATGCTTCCACAGGTAAGTTTGTGAGAGCTGCTGGGCTCCTGGAAACACAGAATATTGACAATTTGCAGCAGTTTGTGCAGCAGTGGGAAATATGCTGATCTGATGAGAAATTATGGTAAAGCTTAGCTAAATTACATGGTCTGATCTCAATAGTGGAACCAGACCTCCTCTTAAATAATGGAGCCTGAACCTTGATCACTGAAGCTCTCGGGCATCTGAGCTGCTCATGTTGTGCCCCTTGGGTTACCCTTTGCTTCAGAACCTTCCCAAGTTCTTCTGCCTCTACAGCTGGGACAAATCTCTTCCCTTTCCATGCAGGTGAAATAACCTGTGGGTTATGACAGGGAGGAAGGAAATATCAGAGGACTGGTTGTTACTCCTGAGGTGGTGAAAAGAAATAGGATTAAAGTACCCTACCACAGTTCCTGTTCGCCTTGAAGGAATGCTGCTGGCATTTGAAGTAACAGGGAGGCTACTATGCCTGGTCTTACAGTAGCCTTCACTGGCTGCTACCCTGCAGGATGGAGAGATCTGGAAAAGGTTGCTACTGAAGTGTTTTCACTCATGTAGGAGGTGACAGTAACTTAGAAGGCTGGAGACTGACTTATCTCCCGCTGCCTCCACAGTCCATACCTGGGTTGTCACTCCAGTTCTCCAGTGTTACTCTGTCTTTCTCAATTCAGACTCATTCCATTCCCTTCTTACACTTCTTCCCTTTTTTACTTGTATTCCTTCCTTTAGTGTCCCCTCTCCTGCTATCTCTAATGCTTTTCCATCCCAAGCACCACGTGAAAAATGAAATTGTCCTTGAACTTTCCAAAATAACAAAGAAAAATTATGAACACAGAATTGGCTATGGGTGTCACTGTTCTCTATTATATGCTACAGTCCTGCCCTCTACTGCCTTTCTGTCACTTTTCTATTTTGATTTTGCAGCTTTGTGAGAAGGAACTGTGTTTTATGTCACACGTCTAACAAAGTAGGGCAACAGTATCAGTGGACCTTTCAACAACACAAAAGAAACAAACCACACAAAAATAAGTACAGACAAATGGAAAACTATGTTCCTTGTTTTGAAAGCGTTTCGAACACTTTTAAGAGTGATACATATATACATGCAGGCACAAACACACACACATTTCTTCTTTTTACTATATCCTAGCTTTTGATTTCTTTTTCTTTACTTTAGCAATGAAGTCCATGGAACATACCTTCACCAACGGATTAATAACACCAACATTAGGGCTTGCATTAAAGATTTTGTTGTAGTTAGTCTCCCTGTTAACTAGCTCCAGCTGATAGAACTTTTTGTCCTCCTAAAAAGAAGAGCATATAGAAACTTCTTTTTATGCATTTTTATAATCAGTTAGTGGCCAAATCTGCCTATAAAATTATCTCAAATTAACTTATGTTTACATTTCTAAGTAAACTGGCAATTATAAAACCTGCATTTTTTTTTTTATTTATCATGTTTTATGTATTATTATATGTAAATAGTAACCTTCTATGTATGCAGTTCTGTTGCAGTTCTATGCTCTGAGAGTGAGCATAGCCCAATGGATTATGCACTGAGAAAGACTCAGTATAGTTAACTTCTGGTCTCTAATTAGCTTGAAATTTCCTCATTCCTTCTTGCCTCTTAATCAGGATCTAATCAGACTAATCTGAATTGGGGTGTCACACACTGCATTTGGGAAACTCAGTGAATCAGGAAATTGGTCTTAGAAACCTCAGAGAAAAGACTATTTCTTACATAGCTTATTCCAGGGTTGGAGATGGGGGATGTCTCATCCAAGTCATACTGGAACATTTTTTTTATTGTGTTTGGTAGTGCAAAACTCTGTATCTCATTAGTTTTACTATTATGAACCATTGGAACCACAGGAATAATGTGTTCAATAATATGAATAACACAACAGCAGGATTTAAATACAATTTAAACATTTTGTATTAGATTAACTTTTATACTTGTCAAGATATTAAACCAAGAGAGCATGGAAGTCTTACAATCAATTTCTTTATGAGTTGGTCCCGCTCTGCAATTAGGTCTTTCAGTTCTGAGATAAGCTGCAAGTCTTCTGGTCTTGATTCTCTGTTTTTATATTTTTCCTCCATTTCTTCTAAACTTTATAGGAAAGAAGAATACCCCTTTTAGCCAGATCCAGTGTTAAATGATGAGAGAATAGGCACATCTTGATTAGTACAAAAGAGAGTTCAGGGCGTAAAAACAGAAGATTGACTTTCTTGTCCCCTTGAATTAATTCCTATGTTTTCATTCAGCTTTAGTTAGTTAAAAAAAAAAAAAAAAAAATCAACCCAACAACGCCATAAGATTTGCTCTGGTAACTAATAATCTGGGCAAAATCCTAAAAACATAACATCCCTCTTTGTGCATGCAGTACTAGGTGTTTGAAAAAAGGCCTCTTGGAAGTCAAACTGAAAATAAGGCATTCAAAATCATAATATGGGCAGTAGGATTACAGAAGACACAGCTAGGATTGATACTAATGTAAAATACAAGGACTACTTTGCATTATATTTAATATTAATGTAATTTTTTAAAAACTGGCAATTAATTTTCTTGATGAGGAAAACAAACAGTATCATTGTTCTTATAGGTGACTACTCTGAATAAAGATGCATGCTTGTGATACTGGAGAAACTGGATAGACAGACAAAGCTGGCACTGTCTTCCTCAGTTCATGTGGAACATACTGGGACAAAGATATCCAAGAACAGTGAAGGCTAATAGGTAATTAACTCCTCTCCACAAAAGCATCTTAGTACCATTAGTAATGAAATAATGAAATGTGCTGCAAAAGAAAAGCAATAACACTTGGGTATTAGGATATCTGGATTAAGAGAAATGTTAGCGACTGATAAACATTTGAAAAAAAAATTGGAGGAAATTTGAAATGCCTGGTGGGAAAGCATTAAAGGAGAGAAGCGAAATAAGCCAACGGAGAGAGGAATTGTACAAGTAACCACAAAAATCTCCTTGTTTCTTCTTAAAGAACAAGTTCTGAAGACATGACAATTTCAAATTACTGTGTCTCTTTGAAACATAGATATAACATTCATGATGCTAAACATTTGTTCCAAAGGAAACTACTAAGATACTTGTCTCACACATTCAGCCCTCATGTAGATTAGTAAACCAAATTTCAGAACAGATTCAGGGCTTGTAACAAACTCAAAAAAAAAGAAATTAAAAAAAATAAATCCCAGATGTACCCTGAGAAAAAAAACTAAGAATTGAGGGTGTCTCAGTCAGCTCAAACTTATATCCCACAAGACACCTGCAACTAGACATAACTTCTCACTTGAGATAAATATTTTCCCTTCAGAAGCAGCTATGTGATTTTTACTTTGAGTTGCACCTGAAAAACTGTTCATATTTAATTATATTTATAACCTTCAAAAAACCTGTACATAATTTGAGGAGATTATATAATGTATTTACATAAAACATAAACCAACATGACTGTTTTTGTTTGCAGAGAAGGCATTTGACTCAGCAGAAGAGAAATATGCTCAGCTGGCTTAATTTTTCTGTGTAGGTTTTATGCTGGCTTAAGCTATTGCACACAGACCCCCAGAGTACATAGTTCCACACAGCTGTCATTTTATTTTCAGATATTTAAGAGAACTGTTTTCTTTCTGTTTCAAATAATATGGACTTTAAATACTCTAGTGGTACAGCCTAATTAATGATACCCACTCCCAATTACTGTAAGATAGATTCTCCATTTCATAAACACTCACAAGGCCACACGTTAGGTGAGGCCGAACCTGGAAATAGTTGTTGTAGAAATAGCTGCATGAAACTCTTCTGGGTTTTGTTTGCTTGTTGTGGGTTTCGTTTGGGTTTTTTTCAGGTTGTTGTTTGGTTTTTTTTAACACAGTTTCCTCTTTTGACAGCTCCTTGCTTCATTTTAAGTAGAGAGAGATAATACACTGAAGACCAGGTCAGGGCACCCTAGGTAACATTTGCTGTCTTTAGGGCAGTGGCTGCTTCTTTGTAGCATTAAGTTGAGCAAGAAATAGGAACAGGCAACTAACTAAATTTAGAAAATTTCAGGACAGTGAAAAATGAACTTAATGGGAAAAGAAGTTAGGGTAAATAGTTTCAAAACCCAGTTCTGGTGACTGCTCATAGGTGTGTTTCTTGTACAAGATAAATGCAGTAAACAGGAGGTAGTTTACACCTAATTTATTGAATGGCAAGTTTCCACGCTTATCAGGGCACAGGGGTGTTCATATGGACTATTACAAGGGAATAAGAACTAGAATTTTATACCCATTGTATTTGAATATAATTTCTGAGTGCTTATTATGAAAAATTAGATGCATTTGGGCTTTATTGTCAATTTCTAATTTATGTTTACTTTAAAAAGTTTTCTGTCATATCTGTAGACCGAATTTTCTCTGCCATAAATCTTTTGTCCTTCAAGAACAAATCCATTAGTGACAGTTTTGTTCAGGGAAGCCCTGAATACTCAGCAAAAACCTGACCAAGTAGGTTTGTCCTGGTTTGAGACAGGATGAAGCCAATTTTCTTTTTACTGTTTTTTTTTTCTCCTTCAGTGAGCTCTCTTAGCTAGCAGAAAGTTTTCCAGCTAGTGGACTGATAATGCCAGAATGTTTATGTTACTGCCGAGACATCAAGGGCATTTTGCTCTGCTTAGAATAGTAAAGGAGCAGAAGAGCTGTACCTGCAACCCTCCTGTAGGGAGCAGTGGACTAGACAGACAGCAAATTTGGCCTGAGACATTCCATACATATATATACACAATAGACTTGGTATAAAGGATCACGGAAGTCAAGCTCCTTCCTGCTTCTTCTTGCCTTCTCTTCTGTCTATGGCTGGCATCCAGGGAGGACTCCATCTACCCATCACTGTTGATCCCTAGGCCTGTGCATTCCTGAGCCTCACAACTCTCCCCTCAGCTCCTGTCTGCTCTGCAGCGCTCTGGGACATTTCAGGACTGTTCACAGATCAGGAGATGCCGTGGGAGTTGCAAACCAGAGAGTCTCTCTCCCTCACTCTCTCTCTCCTTCCCTACCTGGGTGGAAGGGGGAGGGGATCGAGGGCATTGTTGTTGCTGGTTTAATTGCTGATCCTGAGTCAAACCGTGACATGGTTACATCACAGACAGAGATAAAAGTACGAAGGATGTGGAAGACAGGAAAACAGCAAGACGACACACTGCTACACCACTTCTGCCCAGAGGTGGTCTAACCCCAGGTGGCATTTTCACTCAGAGATACTTTAAGAATTCAGTTATTGTTTTGCTCAAAAATTTCCATTTCAGACACTAATTTTCCTTGTGTTAGCAAACCTGAAATTTTTGCATCACTTACGTTTTATAATCAGATTTCTTAATAGCAAATATCGTACTGTTCATAAACTTGTTGAAGAAGCTTGTGTTTTCAAAAAAGATGGAGTAAAGTTTGAGAAAAAACACTGGAAATAATGTTTTCTCCACTTTTCTAAGAACTGCAAAGATTTAATATCTTTCCTACTTAGATTTTTTTTGTCTCAAATCTCTAACAATTTAAAGCTTATAAAACTGTGTTGCCTAAAGAATTCCAAGATTAGGCTCCATACTTGATTGATGTTTTTGCACACCTGCACCTCTGCATTATCTTCAGCAACTCACAGACACCAGAATGAACTATTCACTCAAACGCAGCTACATACAAGTTTTCTTAATGCAACAAAACTTACGAAATTTGTAAAGCTGAATTAATTTCCTTGAGCAGCTCTTGGGTCTTATTAAAATCTGCCAGCATGCTTTCTTTCTCTCTGATGTGATCTGCTGTCAAGACATCCAGCTCTTTCTCATGTTTCTTGCTTAAATCTTGCTCATGCATCCTGTTTAATTTATTTTTTGTTAAAAAAGAGTTATTCTAAAGTCACACTCATTTGTTCATCATGATTTTCTGCCATGTTTCTAATGGTTTTTACACAGTATTAGATAACAGAAGGAATGAATCAAAACCCTCTACTTACTTGTCCTCCAATCTTCTAGCTTATTTCATGTAAAATGCATCTCCTTTAATGCTTTTTTTTAATAAACAAACATAATGAACTAAAAAAAAACAAACAATAAAACACACCAAAAGCAAATACTTGAATGGACTGATACTGAAATATGCTGAAATGAATCACTAAAAGGCAGATTAACTGTATGGTAATATTCACTAACTTCACTAGTAATGGGCATAGCTTTTTTCTAAAGATAAAATGATACATAGCATCACTTGATCAAGAGGATAAATTAAAAGCTGCAAATAGTAAAATTTCTTAATAAAAACATTTGAGTTTAGAGTGGAAAAATTTATACCTGATCTGTTGGTTGGATTCACTTCGTATTCTAAGAACTTCTTTCCCTTTAAACTCTAATTCCTTAGTCAATGCACTTATATTTTCATGAAGATGTAGAATCTCTTTGTCCAGTTCAGCTATATGATGGTCTCGGTGATTCAGTTCATCTTGGAGATCTGATATTCGGCACAAAAATTCTTTCTCCTATGATACAAGTAGCAGTAGCAAAAATATTTTAAATAGACTTGTCTCTCAGAAGCACAATACTTGCTTTTGGAACAAAACAGCTGACTAAAAATTTCCATCCAATAGACAATTTTTTGGAGTTTTTGACACAAACTGTAATTAACCGAGGTTTTAATTTGTACAAGTACAAACAAAGAAATCAAAGTTATGTAACAAACCATTTCTGTTCTCGAGAAAATTTAAAAACTCTCATTGTCTTTGCCTGGTAAAGTGAGTGTAGCTCACCACAACTTTCTTTTGCCCACATTTACAACAAAAACCCAGAGACTGCTGAGAACAAGGAGGGTGGCATTTAGCAGTTTCTCCCTCTTAAGATACCATATATAGAGACACTGGTTTTCCATTTACAGCCCCATACAACAGCACAAAGTAGCTCAAGATGTACGCCCTGCACCAACAAACACCATGATTCAGAAGTCTCCTGTCTTAGCTATACATAAATACAAGGGTCATAAATATCTCACAGTAGAATACATGCTAAATACTTTATATGATATTTATATTGTCTCCAATAAATCAATTAAATAAACTATTTTTGCATAAGAAATTCCAGTGAAGTTAACATCTGGGAAACTCATCTGGAACCTAGGCCAATGGTTTTGGTAATGATTCTCCTTAGTTTCAAAGGAGTCTGTAATGAAATGAACCTTTTCCAGAGTTTTCCATTTCCATCTAATCCACTTCTTACATTTTCACTATAATTAATAACCACATAGTTTGCACAGTTAGAAAAAAAGTCATTTTATGCATACTTGTGTTTTGTGTTTTCATGCATCCAGGAAATACAAATATACCCTAATGCACAAATTTATAGGACATTTTTAAGAACAGATCTTTAAAATTAACTCTCCTCCCTATAGAAAGACTATATTAAAATTATGAGTAAAAGCAGTGGAAAATCTGTATCTACACATTTAAATATTTCAAAAAGTAGCTAATATAATAATCCTGCATCTCTGTATCTATTTCAGCTCTGGTCCTGTGAACTGATGTGTATTCCAACATAGGGAAACACAATTGCTTTGCCCTCAGTACAACTAAAGCTCTAAAGCTCTTGCTTAGCAAGATCATAGTCCTGAGGCCAGAAATACGTGGCATTTGGTTGGATCAAACACTTGCTCTGGTAATTTAAAACTTTTTTTTTTTCCTGACATCTCCTCTAGGCTTAAGGAACACAAGACTGAAACCATATCCTCCTAAATCCTGCATGTTTTTGTTCACTGCTGACAGCACCACATCTTTGCCTCTAGTGCTCACACTTTTAAAGCAGCAAGGAGAAAAAGGGCTCATCTTTGACAGACTGTTTCTGTGTAAAGGCTATATCCAGCTAAACCATATCCTCTGTTAATATATTTCTAAAACCACTCCACCTCCTTGGTGCAGGACTATCAGTAAACCAAACTTGACCAATACCCTATTGTATATAAAGAAGTAATTTTCTGATCCTCTTATTTCCAGAAGTCTGTCTTCCTTTCAGTAGATATCAAGCTTTCATATTTTCATTACTGTTGGAAAAAATGATTGCATATATAGTGAAAAATGAAAGAAAAAGGGGAATTAATCAGTTTGCTGCTGAAAGCAAAGGTAATCCATACTGGTTTTGGGATGCAGGGTGTGTTTTTTGTCTGGGTGTGGGTTGTACTTTGGGTTTTTTTAGGAAACGGTTGCAAGCTGTTACACCTTCTTTGCATTATTTAAATGCTAATTGATCTTTTCTAGTTTGGCTCCTGAAAAAAAGAAAAAGATACTAAGCTACCTCTTAATTTTGAAGTAATACTTTGGTTTTAAGCAATTGTATCACTTAGGGTTTGGAAAGAAGCAGCCTTTTCTTCTGTAAGTCCTGCTCGCAGGTGAAGATGAGTAGAATTTCACAAGAATTAGCAATTTTCTCCCATGGCAAGAAAATGTGCTCTCAGATGGCTGCACAATTCTGAGAGGAAACCACCTTGATATAGAAATCTTTACTAGGCATCAACTGAAGGTTGTTGAAGGTGGAAGTAGTCGAGCAAGAAAGCTTAGTAAACTGCTAGGGATGCATTATCTGCTGGTGCTGGCTGACTCTGAAAGATTACACGTTTGTTCACAATGGTTCTTTCCTCCAACTACAAGAAAGCAAATACTGATTATTCAATTTTACAGCCAGTTGCCAGCAATGCCTCCTACCTGTCGCCTGCCGAGTTCTATGCTTCTTTCAAGCTCCATTTTGGCAGCTACCAGTTCTTGTTGATGGTTGTGCCTGAGCTGGTCAATTGCTGCTGCGTGTTGATGATTTAGCTCAGAGCGCAAGGAAGCTAGTCACCATGAACAAAGAGAGAAGTTTATTTTACACTAATTAACAATAACAGTCCAGCTCCCCCAAGTGTTGCTGCTGACCTCATAAACACTATTTACATAGTCTAAGCAACTGTCCCTGTCATTCTATTCCTCTTACTTTCTGAAACATTCTCTGTCATGAAATTTGGTTGCTTACTCCTTCCAAAATACCTTACAGGTGAGATTTTTCAAAAGGGCACCGTATGGCCTTACTGATTTTAAGATGAACAACTAGGCCAACATTGAATGGCTCTAAGATACTCTACAGTGTTAGAATACACACACGTGTACGTAGATATATTTGCATGAGTAGAAATAATGTTTTGGAACCCACTTGTAAATTTGAAACAGCATACCTAACATAGCTTTTCCTTCATCCTCCAGCTCAAATCGTAGAGTCTGAAGTTCCTGTTCCATCTCCAATTTGAAACCTTCCATGGCTTGTTTATGTGTTTCTTTCAGTGCCTGAAGTTCTTCTGAATGTTTTTGTTGTAAACGTTCTTCTAATTCCTATAAAAACAGAATTGATAAAGTTTATTCAGTTTCAGCTTAGGGAATTTATAAAACATTAAACAATAAACAACCGGAAACAAAAAGCAGGCACTGGCATACTCCAGAAATTACCATAAATGCACTATTATGACTTGCATTTTCTTCTCTAAGTAACCCTACTACTGTATTTTTCCTTTTCAGTGGCTGATGGTTATCAAGATTACCTGTGCACAAAAAATCTATTCTGCTCACAGTTAAAAAAGATAAAAAAACCCAAAAAACAATGTCTGGATATGTTTACAATATCAAGCAGTGATGGGAAGATGCAGATCCCTAGATGGGTCTAGTGTACATATTTGGTGATTTCTGCTCCCCAATGACACCCATGTTGATTCCCTATTTAAATGTATGAAGCATAATGTTCCTGGTGCTTATCTTCTAGTTTCATTTTGAACCCAAGGAATCCACCTTGTGTGCTTAAAGTCCAGTTTCTGATGTGAACCACAGACATTCAGTAGGGACAATGGGAAAATTGATTGCAAAGGTACACTCTGGATCTGAATTTTAAAAAACCCTTAAGACACAGATGCTATTAAGTGCCATGCAGTGCCAACATTTCAATTTTAAAGCTGGTTTAATCAAGGTTTTAAAATCCCTTGAATGTGACAGTGTTCTGGACACATAAATGATCTTGCAAGTTGCAGAACATAGTTTATAAAATTTTTAACATAATGAAAACATAAAACACCTTACAAAAGGAGTCAACTGACAGGAAATAGCAGAAAACATAAGCAACATTAGGTAATGATAATGCAAAATACAGAGAAATCTATTCCAAATAAAAACTAGAATGTCATGTTATGGATAACAATGGCAAATTACTGTAAAGAAGTGTGTGTGTTGATAATAATTTTAACTCTCTCTATATGCATGTACTGCATTCGTTCATCATCATTTTCTGCTGTGCTTCTAACGGCTTTTACACAATATTAGATGACATAAAAAAATGCCAATATCAGAGAAAATTGTCATTATGTTTTAATCAGATTTAACTGGATAAAAATGTTACTATATGACACCAGCTGAAAAGAATATTTAGCAGTTATGCAGATACATTTTTTTACTAATTCCAACTGTGTATATCAATTGCTATTATGGCAACGTTCTGTACATAATACAGAATATCCAGATGAACACACCTTTTGTTCTTGCTCTTTTGTTTCTTCCATGTTTTGAAAGGCAAGGATATGGGCTTCCTGAAGTGACTTATGCCTTTGCTGATGCTCCTCTTCTAATTCCTGGATCTCCTGAGTCAGCCTCTGTCGCTCCTGACTGAACTGGGCTTGTAGCTGTTGCAAAGAGCTCTGAGACTGGGAAAGCTGCATCTCCAGATTCTGTTTCAGTAAGGAGATCTAACCCACAACAGAACAGCAAATATCCTTTAGTCATTAAAACTAACATCAACTCTGAAAATAACATTCAAAAGAAGAAAACTCTTGAAATTGTAAAGCCAGAACATGAACTAAGACTGACAAGCAATGTCATCCATCTTCTGAATTTGCTGTTAATATTATATCTCAGAGATATAATAATGGCATTTTAATAGTTTTATAAGGGTTATCACATCTGTCAGTTTATACTACAGTGCTACCTGTAACACAGTCTTTCATGGCCGAATTATCAAAATTTATTTCTAGGTTTTGTATAAAGAGCAATAAAAATGACACTATCAAGGTCTGAAATCAAGCACTTTATCGTTAAGATACAGTATTCTTCAGGGGAACATCATGTCAATTCTGTAAGGAAAATCCTGCAATTGATAGGGGAGAACAGCCTATGACATATAGATTGATTTTTGAATATTTTGATATTATATCGTCTTATCTTACAGGTAGTTTTCTCATTTAAAAATAAATGGTAGCATACCACTCTACATCATAAATAAAATGTTGCACTTGATGGATTCCTCCCACATACTTTTTTTTTTATTAGCTGAGTAATATTATGTGTGATTTTTCTATCTTGTTTTCAAGATCTAAGATCTAAACAGTCTGAGTAACAAATACTCATTTTTTTAGAAATATCTGTTTTTACAAATTATGCTTTTCACCCAACAAGCTTTTTAATACATTAGAGTACACTGTGCTCCCTGAAGAAGTCCCATATTTTTTTTTATAATAATGTTGACTTTGTTCTTTACATCAGATATAATCTTTTCACACTGAAAATACTCAACCTTTATTCCCTTTAGAGCCAAATACAAGAGAGATACTCTCCAATTCTAGAAACAAGATATAATCAAAAGAGAATTTTGCTACAGTGACTCAAAAGAAGCAAAAAAACCAACTGCCAAATAACAAAGGATTTGAATCAGTAAGGACGTCTTTCAAGCCTCAAAACATTCCATAAAGCTCAATTGTAAATGGAAGTCTGATAGTGTCATTTGATTCAGCATATCTTAAAGTTAATTACGACAAAGTAATGACATTGCACATCAATTTATCGATTTACAGAAAATTAAACCCCACCAATTAACAAAAAATTAATAGCAGCATACCACGGACAAACTGCAGCATGAACATAATTGTCAAATATGTAGGTTGTTTAGTTGTTCTTTTTTTCAGAAGGACACAGCTTAAGCAGATTTGAAAGAAAAAAGCTAGCACTAAAACAAAACAAGCAAATTAATTTGAAAGAAATTAGCATGGCTCACTGCATTTCAAATTTACTAGGTCTTTGTGTCTGGGCATATATACTCTACCTTCCAGGTATATGCTATCAACAGTATTATACTTCAGATACCCCTGAAACAGACTGGCTACAACTGAAATAGTGAAGACCTATACTACATCCTGCAACCTGCAATATACATGTAAAGCCTTTTGCATTAAATGTAAATACCACACACATATTGTACAGTGTCAGACAAAAGATTTGTCTAATCTCCTGTTCTGCCTCCAGAAATGACCAACATGGCTCGCTCAGGGAAAACATGGCATAATGTAAGGATCTTGAATCTGGTCTAGCAGCATCCAGCAATCTTTCTTAACCAAGAGAGGTATTTTGGGGAAAATTAATGGAAAAAAATGTTAGTTAAATTCAACCACTATCTGAATCCATAAGAGTTTTTTAGTATCCACAATATCCTGTGGAAAATTCCAGATAGATATGGCAATACGACATGATGACCTCCTAATACTGGTAACAGAAAGGAGTCAAAAGAGGTTCCCTTCTCCTCTTACTCTGTTCTAACTTCTGTTTTTGTAGATCTTCACATTTCCTTCCTTTTCCATACTAAACAGTTTTGGCTTAATGAGTCACTCCTTGTATGGAAGCCATTTCATATCTATCACCACATTTCTCCTACTTTTGCCCCTTTTCTACTATTTATTTTTAAGATGAGGAGATCAAAACATTATCAAGTAATTTAAAATAGGAGTAAACTTTAGTTTTATATAATGCTTTCTATGGTTTTACATTTTACCAGCCTTTCAGAACCTGAAGGGGGCCTACAGGAAAGTTGGCGGGGGACTTTTTACAAGGGTATGTAGCAACAGGGGGAGGAGTAATGGCTTGAAACTGAGAGAGGGGAGATTTAGGTTAGACACTGGGAAGACAATCTTTACTGTGAGGATGGTGGTTTTTTTCTTTCTGTCTTCATTTTTAGTATCATAGGAATGTGCAGTTATAATAGTCTTAAGAGATTATTCAGTCCAATTCTTAGCACTAGGTAGGAACTCCATACACAAATTACTGCTTAAAAATCTTGTATGAAGAAAATACCACAATTTTCACTCATATCTTCTTCCTCCTCCTGTCTGTGGCAGAAACACTGAGATACTGTATCTGTCCACTGTTACTTGTCCCTTTCATCATGTTTCTGTCCCTCAGGTTTCTTACCATTGCCCAGTCCCATTCTCCATGGCCACCAGGAGGTACAATTCTAGCAGAAGTCTTGCTCAGTCCTGTAGAACCTCAGGTAATGTTATCATCATACTCTAAAAAAGCTTTAATTATAACGTTAAAATGGAGTCAGCCATGGTATCTTAGCCAAATTTTTATTAAGATTACATGAAAAAAGGTATTTTTGGCTGGAAGTTAAATCCATCTTTCACTTAGGCTCCTGCTCCAAATTCTGGTAATTCTCACTGTATCACTTTTTAACTTTTTTTAGCAGGGTTCAAAGGCAAACTATTTATTTATTTATTTCTTCAGAAATGCAGAAAACATTTTAACTGAGGTGACCAAGAGAAGTCTGACATCTGGCCAGGAAGCCATTTTAGAAGAGATCAGGAATATCCTTCTCAAGAGCAGTTCACTCTTCCACTGGACTGAAGTGACTGCAAAATCACAGCCTGAAATGCGTCAATCTCTATTTGCATCAATAGACTACACAGAAAATAAAGGACAATGAGGATTAAATTATTCTAACAGTCAAATTAGTCTACCATTCTAATAATAAGATTTTTCTGTCCTTGAAAGTACATTAAATATTAAAAATCTGGCAGTTATTTTTAGAAGAGTAAGTAATTTTAAACATTATTTTGAATATTCATTTCATATGCTGATACCCTTAGGAGTAAGGGGATTTTTGAAATTTTTGAAAACATAAGTGCCTCCCTTTGCATCATCTCCTCTATGTACTCCTGTATTTAGGATTCAAAGCAAAATGGCTTTAAGTGCTATTGTCTAAACTTTCAATACTTTTATCCATGATTTTCAGTGCATTAAAAACATTGGTAAGAATTTTAAAGATAAATAAAAAATAGAAAGAAAGAATATTTTGGCTACAATTATAACTTGCACCGCCCAACTGAAACTTATAGTACAGCGTCAGTCTCATGCTTTGTAGAAAGCTCTGCAATACACGTTTGCACTGCCCACAAGCTTGCTTGAACAATGACAAAAATGCTGCTTCTGTTATGACCATGTGGGTAGTTTGATGTCCAGTGACATAAACATTTACACAGATGAATGGATGCAGTACACAAGCTTTTGGTAACTAGCAGCAAACATCTTCCTCTCAAATATCACCATGTATTCTATTTCATAGGCTACAGCTCTAAAGCAGTACTACAGGATATGCAGATTTATTAGTGCAAACATGCCCTGTTTACAAGCTGTAAGTGCAAATCACTCACATTGCTGATAGATTTATGTAAAGCTTCACCGAGACAGTGCCGCTATGAAGAAAAGATCACAGGAATAAAGGGAAATATTCAGAGATCAACTAAGTAAAAGAAAAAGGGATAAGGAAGGGGAAAGTAAAACACAGAACATTTATTATAATTTCATCAGGGAAAAAGAAGTTGAACACTATCTGGAAAAAATATTAACATGTTGCTTTGACTTGGTATATAAACTACCAACCAGAATAAAATCATGTGTTTTCCTGTGTCATGGTTTGAACATACAGCATAGCATTATCTCTTCAGCATAATGTTACTAAATACTCCTGCATTATGCAGCTGAACATTTTAGAAATTACCCAACTGTTTTCTCCTTTATGGCAATAATTTTGGGAAGAAACCCTTAAGTACATTGATTTGCATGATTATTAGAAAAAGTGTTATGTAAGGACTCAATTAACAGTCAGCTGTGTCTCCAAAATATCACAAGCATATTAGATACATGAATATTAAAGTGCAAATTTCACTGAAAAAGGACAGAAAATGAACTTAGTCTACAATGAAGACATTTATATTAAAATACTTATTTTTCTTAACATTCAGAATGAGATGGGTACATAGCAGATTCTTCCTGCAAGTCTCCAACAAAAAATGAGTTAATGTAGCATTGTTGATTGGTAATGAGAAGCAAAAAATAAAAACGTATTGGCAAGTAAATGTTCGATATGAAATATTACTGATCAGAAAAATCATATACATCATTCATATATATATACATATAAAAATGCCTGTGTGTTTTTAAATATATATGAATGGTGTAGATAGGCACACATCCATCCATGCACACAATAGTAATCAGAAATTAAGTGTGAGCAATTTCAAACGCAGCATGACCAATATTCCCTTGTGGCACATGTCAGTCAAGATAATGGCTTTCTCCAGGAGACAGCAGGTATTTTGACATCAGCTTGGAAGCCTGCAAGTTGGGAACTTTTGGATAATATTTCGCAAAATACAAAAATAATAAGTTATTATTTTTCTCCTGAACCTACAAAAAGGTACAACATAAAATACGTAATTGTGGAATATCAAAAATTATCTTAAAACTGTAAGTTACAAGCAACAGTTTTCTATACAAGAGTGTAACACTAGGAGGCATCATACTCCAGCAGACAAGGCAACAGACTGATTCTGAACAGCTCCGATTTCAACACTGGATTTTGACAGTGCCAACCTAAACAAATCCCTCCATTTTTTTCTGTCCTTCCTTTCCCATCTGTCTG